GGATGAAGCTGTACTTCAAGATCAAGCCCTTGCTGAAGAGTGCTGAATCTGAGAAGGAAATGGCCAACATGAAGGAAGAGTTTGAGAAAACGAAGGAGGAGCTTGCTAAGTCTGAGGCAAAAAGGAAAGAACTGGAGGAAAAAATGGTGACCCTGCTGCAAGAGAAAAACGACCTGCAGCTCCAAGTACAATCTGTGAGTATCACCAGTGCATTCAACCCTTATTGTACAGTAGAAAGGTCCAAGCTGAAAGTTCCCAATGCAACTTTCCCATGAAGCATCCCATTAATAGCACTGGGATCAGTGTTTGGCCAAGATAAAATATTCCCTGTGTTTAAAATATAAAGTATCGGTGTATAAATAAATAAATAAATAAATAACAATACTCCCAGCCACGTATGACAGGTCATGCCCTAAAACAAAGTGAGAGCAAGCAAATTTGGAGAAGCAAAGCTAAGCTCTTTAAATACTCCTGCCGCATCCATGGCAATTTACTGTGACAGTGCCAATGTATTCACAAGCCCTGATGAATTTACACATCTGCTGTACCCTTTAAATGTATTATGCCACCGATGTTGCCATCCCAGGCTGGATTAAGGCAATCTGGAGCATCACACACACCATGACGAGGGGCCGTCTATGGCTCCACCTGCACAGCCCAGCCCTGTGATGTGGTCCCCCCACCCCTCCAACACACACAGTTGAAATGGCAGTGGCAGCAGGGCTCCTCCCTTCCCAGAGAAGCAGTGACCACAGTACGAGGTCCTCTTTTCCCAGAAGAAGAGGCAGAAAGGGCCTCCTCTCCTCTGGAGCAGCAGTGGCGGATGTAGGGTTCCCTCTCTCCCTCCACAGAAGTAGAGGTGGCAGCACCCTGAGTACTTGCTTTATGAGCCAGGGTGTGTGCAAGGCGGGAAAAGCAGGGACACGGCCCCCCAGTAATTGGCGGGGGCACAGAACTCCTCTGGTGGCCCTAGGGTGATCAGATGTCCTGATTTTATAGGGACAGTCCTGATTTTGGGGTCTTTTTCTTATATAGGCTCCTATTACCCCCCACCCCCGTCCTGATTTTTCACACTTGCTGTCTGGCCACCCTAGGCAGCCCCAGGGCAGTGGAGGGAGACTGAATGCTGGGCAGCCAGATCCCCTCTTCCAGGAGCCAGAGTTCTCCGGAGCTCACTCACCCTGCCCCCTTCTCTGCCTCCACCAATTAGCGCTGAGATGATATGGAATGACAATCCTCTTAACCAATAGTAGTGCGGCAGTGAGCAGAGTCTCTGGGGGTGGGGCAGGCAAGGGAGGGATTGGTAGAGTGGGGAGCACAGCGTCCCCGGACAATGGTGGTGGGAGCACAGGGTACCCTGTGGCAGTGCTGGGTAGGAGGGGGGAGCACAAGGCCCCCAGTGGTGCCCCAGGGGGAGAGCGAACTCCTCTGGCCAAAAATATGAACTGGTGAGAGATGCTTCACTTATGGCCAGATATTTGAAAAATATTTGTTTTTCATTTCTGAGTTGTGTTGAAGTTAGATAAATTTCAGGCCAAATGGTTGTTTTTTTCCGGAAAATTTTAAGTGACTGATAATATAAGCTACAAGTGGAAGTGTCATCAAAACCATAACTATAAAATACCTATTCCATGTTATAAAAGATGCAGTAAAAGTCATTATGAGACAAACACCAGTAAAAAAAAAAAACCTTTTAGAAAAGATCCTAATAATGGATTCACTGTAGGAATCTGATGGCTTGGCTGATGCTGAGGAAAGATGTGACCAGCTGATCAAAACCAAAATCCAACTTGAAGCTAAAATTAAGGAGCTGAGTGAAAGAGCAGAGGATGAGGAGGAGATGAACGCTGAGCTGACAGCCAAAAAGAGGAAACTGGAGGACGAGTGTTCAGAGCTGAAGAAAGACATTGATGACCTTGAGTTAACATTGGCCAAGGTTGAAAAGGAAAAACATGCCACAGAAAACAAGGTATAAGGCAGAATCTCTAACAAAGATTCTAAAATATGACACTGTTGGTTCACAAACAATAACGTTTTGTATCCATTTTCTTTAACTACCTTTGTTTAACTCTGCAGGTGAAAAACCTCACTGAGGAGATGGCAGTCCTGGATGAAACCATTGCTAAACTGACAAAGGAAAAGAAAGCCCTCCAGGAGGCCCATCAGCAGACCCTGGATGACCTGCAGGCAGAAGAGGACAAAGTGAACACACTGAGCAAAGCTAAAACCAAGCTGGAGCAGCAAGTGGACGATGTAGGCACAATAACATATTGAGAGAATAAAACCAGTGTGAAATTAGGCTCTTGTTAGCAGAGAATTTATGGTCTTTTTCTGTTTAGCTTGAAGGGTCGCTGGAGCAAGAGAAGAAGATTCGCATGGACCTTGAAAGATCGAAGAGGAAACTTGAAGGAGATTTGAAGCTGGCCCAAGAATCCACAATGGATTTAGAAAATGATAAACAGCAGCTGGAGGAAAAACTGAAGAAGTAGGTATGGTTTGCAGGGGGTGTCATGCAGATACATTTTGTTCCGGCATTAACTCTTTTTTTCTTTGTGCGTGTGAAAAGGAAAGACTTTGAAATCAGTCAATTCCAAAGCAAAATTGAGGATGAGCAAGTCCTGGGCGTCCAGCTGCAGAAGAAGATCAAAGAGTTACAGGCTAGTCATTAATTCTTTCTCTTCTGGCCTTCAGAACGAGTTCAGTTAAAAGGAAGCCATCTTTCTTAGGCTTGGTCTAAGTTAGGTTGACATAGTCATGTCGGCCAGGGGTTTGATAAAACCACATCCCTGACTGACATAGATTTGCCCAGTGTAGATGCACACCAGCTGTGTTGGTGGAAGAAAGCTTCCATCAATGTAGGCGGACGAGAGGAGGGAGAAAGGAGGGAGAGTTGTACCAGGGCCCTGAGCTCAGGGGATCCCCAAAACATCTTTAACATCTGTGTAAATAAAGTGAAATGGAAAGAGGTGAACACAGTGAACGTGATGTACCAGGGACCCAAATTTCTCTCAGTGGGTTTGGATGTAGCTATCCTAGTTCAGGGAGGTGGTGTTTCCTTGCCACCAGAATCCCCTGTTGTCAGTGTAGGCTGCATCTATTCTACGGTGTTATGCCAGCAGAACTCTGCCGACAGCCATACTGGTGTTGACCCCAGAATGAATCCACAGTCTTAGTGTTTCCTGTCGTTCTCTAGGCTCGTATTGAGGAGCTGGAGGAGGAGATAGAGGCTGAACGTGCCTCTCGTGCGAAAGCAGAGAAGCAGCGGGGTGATCTCTCCAGGGAACTTGAGGAGATCAGTGAGCGTCTGGAAGAAGCTGGTGGAGCAACAGCGGTTCAGATTGAAATGAACAAGAAGCGTGAGGCAGAATTCCAGAAAATGCGCCGAGACCTTGAAGAGGCCACTCTGCAGCATGAAGCCACAGCTGCCGCCCTCCGGAAGAAGCACGCGGACAGCACAGCAGAGCTTGGGGAGCAAATCGACAACCTGCAACGAGTCAAGCAGAAGCTGGAGAAAGAGAAAAGTGAACTGAAGATGGAGATTGACGACCTGGCTAGTAACATGGAGACTGTCTCCAAAGCCAAGGTACAAAGCTGTGTATTGAAAGTGCTGTCTTTATCCTAAGTGTTATTGCAGCTGAAAAGAACAGAGGATTTATATTTAATTATATCAAATTTACATGTAAGCAGGGTGTAAAAGAAGGGTAAGAGCTGTACATGTATTACTATGAGTTGGCGTTTAGTAATTTTGGCACTAATATAATGATAACTAATGGGTACTTTTGGTTTATAAGATAAGAACCAAATGCAGGGTTGAATAAAGTCTAAGGCTAATGGCCAATGTTTTGATAGGAAAGAAACTTGGAATCCAAAGGCCTGTACCTTTATTAGTCCAGGTTAGTACCACGTTAGCAGGAAAGACCTTCACAATTATTATTATTATTACACTGAAACTTTAATTAAATGATTAAAATTTAAATAATAAAAGAAAAACATTAAAAACTTCTGACAGATTAATTATCTCAACATCACTCTTTTTTACTTTCCTGCCTTTTTCTCTTCTGCCCTCCCTTCCCTCCCTCTGATCACTGTAAAGTGCTGAGTTTTGTTAATAGTAAATACGCAATAAATCATGATTTAAAATAAAAATCAAGGACTCTGCATCTCAACTGACAATCTGTTCCTTAATTTAAACAAGTGAGATAACATTTGAATGATTTATGACAATACATTATCACACACTACTACATATCGTGGTGCATATCTTCTATAAGTCCTGCAGTCTTAGTGATATAAGTCCTTACTATAGAACTGTTTTCTCTCTTAAACGCTGGCTAGCGTTTTGTGGTCCATGAGAGTTGCAGATGCTTAGCACCTCATGTGATCTCAGAATACAACAGAGCCAGTTGTGTAGCCTCTTTCCTTTTGTCCATTTCACATATTGCAGGCAAACCTTGAGAAGATTTGCCGCACTCTGGAAGATCAGCTTAGTGAGGTTAAGACAAAGGAAGAGGAGCACCAGCGCCTGATCAATGACCTGAGCACTCAACGAGCTCGTCTACAGACAGAAGCAGGTAAGACACTTCTAAGTCTTTGCTTCAAGGTAGAAATTTGACCAGTCTATGCCTGAGAATTGGGATACTTCTGACAATGGTGAATTTATCTCTCTATGGCTTAGAATCTACCTGCCATTCTATGTGATGCCTATAAACACTCTAGATCATCATAAGTCAGATCATTACCAAGTAGAAATCCCTTCTTGAATACTTCATGCTAATAGAATAAAGACTAAAAGATTTTTGTTTTATTTTGAACACATCACCAAATGCATTGCTACCGCTGCTACTGCTAAGAATAATAAGGAAGAGAGGGGAAATGACACACTAATGAAATTTGCAGAGGATACTTATATGGGGAGAGTTGCAAAACCCAGCAGGGAGGGGTAAGGAGCAGGGACCAGGGTGGGGTGGCAGGGGCTCCTGGGAGGGTAGAGTAGGGAAACTACCTGGTGGAGGCTTCTAGGATGGGATGGGTCTAGGGGCTCATGGGCTAGGGAGGTCAGGGTGGTATGGTGGGGGGCACCTTGAAGGGGAAGAGGAGGGTCCGGCTGGTGGGGGGTTTCTGGGAGGGGAAGAGGAGGATCAGGCTGATTGGGGGATGCCTGGGAGGAGAAGAGGGGGAGTCAGGGTGATGGGGGAGCCTGGGAGGGGAAGAGGAGGGTCAGGATGATGAGGGATGCCTGGAAGGAGAAGAGGGGAAGTCAGGCTGGTGGGGGGTGTCTATGTGAGGAAGAGAAGGGACAGGGTGGCGTGTGTGTCCAGGGATGGGGGGTCAGTGGCCGGTGTTTCTGACTCTCAGCGATGGCAATCCCCTTTGGGTCCCATTAAATCTGGCCTGACTGCCCCGGCTGTCATGCTGGGGGGCGGCTGGGCCAGACTTCAGTGAGTGGTGTAGTGACCTGTTGAATGGGATTGCAGGCTACCTAGGTTTGCCACCGTAGGCAGATAAACTGGCAGGTCTGGCGCCCTAGGCACTGGGTCTTTTCTTAGCGCTCTCCCGAATGGTCATGGTGATCAGAGACACCTAAGAGGAGGGGGCTTCTGGGAGGAGTCTGGTTTCTTGGGTTGCTTTTTGGGCTTCCGCTTGTCCATGTCTCCTTCTGCATCTTTGTCATCTTTGGGTCCTGGGAGCTGGGCATCTTGGTACTCAAGTCCACCCTTCTTCTCAGGGGAAAAGAACCAGCTTGCTTGCTTGCTCGGCTGGTGAAGCCCAATCCCACAATTGATGTCTCAGTGTCAGTCCCTTATTTGTATTGATTTGGATCCAACATGTGTCCAGAGCCAGTTGAGACTCAGAGCCCCTTTCCCTGAGGAGCTGGCAAAGTTCCTCTCTGAGCCCTGCCTGTTTTTCAAAGGCAGCGAAGCGTCTGTGGCTCAGGAGGCTCACTCAGGTTCCAATGCACTAATGTACTTGCTCTTTTCTGATTTATATGGTCTCTGGCAAGTCTTGCTTTCATTGGGAACTTTCCCCCTGTAGCTGGAGAGCCAACTGGGCATGGTCACATTAATTTCTAAGTCCCATTTCATAAATATACCCCAGCAATTAGCTTACTTAGCAAATGTTTTCCAGAGCAAAAGAAGAGACAGAGAGTTGGTATTAAATTTTTAATAAATGGCCATGTATATTTAAATTAAATATTCTAGATCTATTAATACTAATATATTTCATATTCAATGTTTAAAAAGTCTTATCTGAACTTTCTCTACCAATTTAGAATAGTTATCTCATCTAGATATTTTGGGAAAGTCCTGGTGGCACGATCCGATCTCTCAGGGTATGTCTACACTGAAAGTAAGCCCAGGGTTTGAGCTGAAGCCTAACCCCCTTTTTGTCTACACACAAATCACACTAACCCTGGGTTCAGACACAGGGTCCCAGGACCCCACGGGGGTGGAGGGTCCAAGCCTGAGTAAAGCCAGGACTCAGGGTCCAAGCCCTATTCCTTTGCAGTGTAGACACTGCCCCACAGGACTCGTGCTCTGGGAGTTTGCCAAAAGTACTGCACAACTCCACAGGGTGATTTTCTTTGTCCTCCAGACAATCAAGTTTTCCCCCTCTGCACCATGAACAAAGGGCTAGAGTGGCCACATTTTGGGATGGTGCTAAGAAGTCTGGGACATGAGTGGCTGAACTCAGTCCCGCACAATGTAGCATAGACATTGGAGCCCCAGGTTGGGACCCAGGGTTCAACAGTTCCTAACCTGAGGTTACAAATGAGTGTAGATGCTCAAACCCTAGGTTAATAAACCCAAGGTCTTCTAACTTGAGTTCTATTAACCTTGGGCTTACATTGCAGTGTAGACAGACCCCTAGTGAAAGGTGGATAAGTTATTATTCCTGATGTCCAGTATGTGAAAAAAACAATGCTAAGTCCTGTGGTGACCTGAGGTTATGAAGGCATCTTTATTGTCAAGAGTAAAAGGAAGCAACCAAATCTCATTGCAAAGCTACCATGTTATTGGGCTTGGCTGGCACTGACATTCATTTAAGTATTGGGAGACTCAAACTTGTGTGGCTGTACAGTGAGCTGCAAACTTCCACTCTGGGCTCTGAAACCAAATCCATGGTCCTACTCTAAAATCAATAGGTGCAAGAGGAAAATGATTGGGATACAGGTGCTCTCACCCTGATTCTCAGAAGGCTGTCTATACCTCTCCCTCTATATACACATTTGGATCATTCGAGTCTTGGCACAATGCCAAGCTAACTGAGACACGCTGCCATATTTACAGACTGTATATCACATGCTGTGTCTCGGGTTTAAGGAAGATAAGGGGCCCCCAATTTCCACAGTGCACAAGGCTCCAAAATTCTTTAATCCAACCCTGACCAAGGTGATGAAGGAACTAGTAATGAGAAATGATTTAATAAGATAGTAATGTACAGTGTGGCTAAGTGATAACTTAGTTTATTTTAATGGAAATACGAAGGGTGGAAGACTATGTTTAGTGTGTAAAAAGCAACAGAGGGTCCTGTGGCACCTTTAAGACTAACAGAAGTATTGGGAGCATAAGCTTTCGTGGGTAAGAACCTCACTTCTTCAGATGCAAGTAATGGAAATCTCCAGAGGCAGGTATAAATCAGTATGGAGATAACGAGGTTAGTTCAATCAGGGAGGGTGAGGTGCTCTGCTAGCAGTAGAGGTGTGAACACCAAGGGAGGAGAAGCTGCTTCTGTAGTTGGATAGCCATTCACAGTCTTTGTTTAATCCTGATCTGATGGTGTCAAATTTGCAAATGAACTGGAGCTCAGCAGTTTCTCTTTGGAGTCTGGTCCTGAAGTTTTTTTGCTGTAAGATGGCTACCTTAACATCTGCTATTGTGTGGCCAGGGAGGTTAAAGTGTTCTCCTACAGGTTTTTGTATATTGCCATTCCTGATATCTGACTTGTGTCCATTTATCCTCTTGCGTAGTGACTGTCCAGTTTGGCCAATGTACATAGCAGAGGGGCATTGCTGGCACATGATGGCATATATAACATTGGTGGACGTGCAGGTGAATGAGCCGGTGATGTTGTAGCTGATCTGGTTAGGTCCTGTGATAGTGCTGCTGGTGTAGATATGTGGGCAGAGTTGGCATCGAGGTTTGTTGCATGGGTTGGTTCCTGAGTTAGAGTTGTTATGGTGCGGTGCATGGTTGCTGGTGAGAATATGCTTAAGGTTGGCGGGTTGTCTGTGGGCGAGGACTGGCCTTCCTCCCAAGGTCTGTGAAAGTGAGGGATCATTGTCCAGGATGGGTTGTAGATCACTGATGATGCGTTGGAGAGGTTTAAGCTGAGGGCTGTAGATGATGGCCAGTGGAGTTCTGTTGGTTTCTTTTTTGGGCCTGTCTTGTAGCAGGAGGCTTCTGGGTACACGTCTGGCTCTGTTGATTTGTTCCTTTATTTCCTTGTGTGGGTATCGTAGTTTAGAGAATGCTTGGTGAAGATCTTGTAGGTGTTGGTCTCTGTCTGAGGGGTTGGAGCAGATGCGGTTGTACCTCAGTGCTTGGCTGTAGACGATGGATCGTGTGGTGTGTCCGGGGTGGAAGCTGGAGGCATGAAGGTAGGCATAGCGGTGGGTGGGTTTTCGGTATAGGGTGGTGTTAACATGGCCATTGCTTATTTGTACTGTGGTGTCCAGGAAGTGGACCTCCCGTGTAGATTGGTCCAGGCTGAGGTTGATGGTGGGGTGGAAGCTGTTGAAATCATGGTGGAATTCTTCCAGGGTCTCCTTCCCATGGGTCCAGATGATGAAGATGTCATCAATGTAGCGTAGGTAGAGAAGGGGTGTGAGTGGACGAGAGCTGAGGAAGCGTTGTTCCAGGTCAGCCATAAAGATGTTGGCATATTGTGGGGCCATGCGGGTGCCCATAGCGGTGCCACTGGTCTGGAGGTATATATTGTCACCAAATTTGAAATAATTGTGCGTGAGGATAAAGTCACAGAGCTCAGCAATAAGTTGTGCTGTGTCATCATCAGGGATACTGTTCCTGACAGCTTGTATTCCATCTGTGTGTGGGATGTTTGTGTAGAGAGCCTCTACATCCATGGTGGCTAGGATGGTGTTTTCTGGGAGGTCACCAATGCATTGTAGTTTTCTCAGGAAATCTGTGGTGTCACGGAGATAGCTGGGAGTGCTGGTGGCGTAGGGTCTGAGCAGGGAGTCCACATATCCAGACAGTCCTTCAGTGAGAGTGCCAATGCCCGAGATGATGGGGCGTCCAGGATTTCCAGGTTTGTGGATCTTGGGTAGTAGATAGAATAACCCCGGTCGGGGCTCTAAGGGTATGTTGATTTGTTCCTGTGTTAGTGTAGGGAGTGTCCTGAGTAGATGGTGCAGTTTCTTAGTGTATTCCTCAGTGGGATCTGAGGAAAGTGGCCTGTAGAATTTGGTATTGGAGAGTTGTCTGGCAGCCTCCTTCTGGTAGTCAGACCTGTTCATGATGACAACAGCACCTCCTTTATCAGCCTCTTTGATGATAATGTCAGGGTGGTTTCTGAGGCTGTGGATG